CTGCTAACAGAAAAAGTGTTAAACTTGAAAGGGTTCAGAAAAGATTTACAAAGATGTTGCCAGGATTGGAGGGCGAGTTATAGAGAGAGGCTGAATGGGCTGCAGCTTTATTCTCGGACCGTCGGAGGCCGAAGGGAGAGGTTTATAAAATCACAAGAGACATGGGTAGGGTGGATGGCTAAGGCCTTTTTTCCAGGGTAGGGGAGGCCAAAACCAGAAGGCATAGGGTTTAAGGAGAGATGGGAAAGATTCAAGAGACCCAAGGAGCAACTTTTTCGTGCAGACGGTGTGCATGTATCGAACGAGTTGCCAGAGGTGGGGGAGGCAGGTACAGTTACAACATTTAAAAGGCACCTGGATGGGTACATAGTTAGGAAGAGTATAGAAGAATATGGACCAAATGGGATTAGATCAGTTTAGAATATCTGGTTGGCACAGACGAAGGGTATGTTTCCAGGATGCATTTCTCTGACTGTATGGTGTTGATTCCCCAAATTTTTCTAGATTTAGGAAAGGTTCCAACAACCAAGGAATAAACATTTTCAAGAAGGGAGGGAGACAGCAAATAGGAAACTAAAAGGCCAGCTGGCTTGGGATATGTTGTGTTGAAAATGTGCTTTGAGGCTAGGTAAGTGAACTTGATTCGACCCAGCCAGCCAGAAGCTCCTGCCTGATTATGGTCAACCTATATGATACAATGGTTCAGCCTCAACTGGGCATCTGCATCCCTATTTGGGCATCACACTTTAGGAACAGTCCATGTTCGTGTGTAGCAAGACCTGGAACACAGTCAGGCTTCAGGTAATACTGTGGGCTCAAGTACAACTTTGTGGTAAATTCTAAGGAAACAGAGTAAAGTGGATGCTTTTTGATGATCGCACAAAGTTAAGCACCATTTGCAACTCCACAGATCCTGAAACAATCCATATCCAATGCAACAAGACCTGGACAAATCTATGCTTGAACTGAAAAGTGACGAATAATATTCACACTACACAAGTGCCAGGCAAAAACCATCACCAATAAGAGACAATCTAACCAATGTCCATTGACATTCAATGGTGTTACCATCACTGAATCCCCCACAATCAACATCCAGGGGGTTACCATTAACCAGAAACTCAACTGGAAGCCTGTCTGCCATGTACAAGGCGCAAGTCAAGACAGTGTGATGGAATACTCCCATTTGCTTAGATGAGTCTAGTTCCAACAACATTCAAGAAGCCTGACACCATCCAGGTCAAATCAGCCCATTTTTGTTTTAAAAAGGTTTTGTTCATCAATGTGAGCACCACTGGCTAGGCTGCCATTTATTGCCCCTACATGATTGCCCAGAGGATAGTTAAGATGTCAACCACATTGCTGTGGGTCTGGAGTCACATGTAGGCCAGAGCAGGTAAGGATGACAGGTTTCTTTCCCTAAAGGACATTAGTGAACCAAATGCATTTTTTCTGATAATGAAATGGTTTCATGATGATCATTCCACTCTAAATGCCAAATTTTTATTAAAATCAAATCCCATTTGCCAGGGCAGGATTTGAACCAAGTCCCCAGAACATTACCTGGATCTTCAGATTAATAGTCTAGCAATAATACCATTAGGTCATCAGCTTGCCACCACATTCATAAACATCGACTCCCTCTACCACCAATGCTCAGTAACAGTAGTGTATAGCATCTACAAAATACACCACAGAAATTCACTCAGGCTCCTTAGACAACATCTCTGAAACCCATGACCACTTCCATCTACAAGGACAAGGGCAGTAGATACATGGGAACACCATCACCTGCAAGGTCCCCTCCAAGTGACTCACCATCCTGACATGGAAGTATGTCGCTGTTCACTCCGTGTCATTGGGTCAAATTCTAGAATTCCCTCCCTAATCGCATTGTGAGTTCACCTGCAGCACATGGACTGCAGTGATTCAAAGCAGCAGCAGCACCCACATCCCACAAGTTTATTTTTAAGCACAATATAAATGTAAAATCAAATAAATATAATGATTTATTTTGTCCTCTACTCACAAAGTCTGATTTGCAATTTACTAGCTATATACAGTCCAAACTGGTATCTGTGAGGCAATGTGATTACCTTCAATGGACTCACACGTAAGCTTTCACCTTAGAAGTGAACTGAACTGAATTAGCTTTATTGTCACCTGTACTCAAATGAGTACCGTGGAAAGTTTATAAGTCACCACTTACAGCACCAACTTAGGTACAAAAGGTACCTAGGTACAGCTTCTTCAGTTACAAATTAGTTACAGGATAATAGGAGCAGGAATGTTTCTGTTTACAGGGTTTTAAAAAAAACCGCCTCACATGTAATAGAAGATTAGTTCACTGTAAACAGCACAGAGTTTGTTGAGTAAGAATTTAAATGAGTGACGATGAAGGGCTCTTGATCAAATCCAGTTGAGATATTAACAAGAACTTTCAGTACATTGGAGAAGTCCACGACTTCTCTCTAATGCTTTCTGGTGGATTGCAGTAGTCATTGCAGCAAGAAGAAGCACTCAGTTCTTTAGGTCCTACTGCAGTTACTGAAAGATGTTGTCAGATAAAGATTCCACTCATCTTGCTAATGCGGCAGCACCAGTGACATGCTCTGGGTTGCTGTAATAAGTTTTTTGTTCTTAAAGTCTTTGACTAAAGAGTTGGCAGCTAAAATCATCTCCTCTTTTATAACATCATCATTTGTGAACGATCTGTGTTTTGTCAGAAGTTTGCAAAAACAAATGATGCTTCAACACAGGCCTTAGCTTTACTGGAGGTTTAGAGAAAAATGACTGTTGAACTTTCAAAACAAGCCTTCAGTTCGTTAGCTTTCTTGATCTGAAGCATGCCATTCAAGGGAAAACTATCCTTGATTTAGTGTGTAGTGTGGTGTCAGTCAAAATTCCACTTTTTACTTACCAATATACTTTAGTGACATGCAAGGAAAACACTTCTACAGTTGTAGACAGTAATTCATTTTCTCATTCTGTACAGAATTTATACACTTTTGGCTTCTTTTTAGACGATCCTAGTTCATTAAGACATTAAGGGACTTGACAGGATAGATGTGGAAAAGTTGTTTCTCCTTGTGGGAGAGTCTAGGACCAGAGGGGCATCATCTCAGTGTGAGGGGCTGCACATTTAAGATGGAGAAGAGGTTGGGTTTCTTCTCTCAGAAGGTAGTGAATCTAGGGAATTCTTTACTATGGGGGGCTGTCAAGACTAGATAGTTAAGTATATTCAAGGCTGAGACAGACAAATTTTTAATGATGAGTTATGGGGGAAAAAGGAAGGAAAGTAAAGTTGAGCAAATATCAGATCAGCCATGATCTCACTGAAAGGTAGAGCACATTCAATGGACCGAATGGTCTACTTCTTTTCCCATATATTACGGTCTTAGCACATCAATACATACTACAAGATGAAGTGATAATGTCACTCAATGCTGGTTATGCTGCAGGTAGGTCTCTAGATCCATGCCTCTGGACGATCCAGAGTGGTCCTGGCTGTAGATGTACAGGAGGTCATTTCTGTGGTTGAGATTTGTTTCTTGGATACTGGATTTAGAGAGTGTGGCAGCAATCGCAAAAAGTTTTGTCTTGCACCAAACTATTAGATAAGCAGGTAATGGAGAAGAACTCCAGTTCTACAGGGCAGAGGAGCGGGACTAGTGGAGCTGCACTTGCAGAGAGTCCACATGGACATGATGGGCTTAACATCCCATGTTTCTGGAATATACTGGCTTCATACATCACTTCCTGGTTTATTTCTTATTCATTTGTGTGCATTGCAGCAACAAAACTTACCCTCCCCAAGAAAGATAGCCCATTTGGACCAAACTGAAACACAATGCAACACGCTGGCAGAGCTTGTTAAGTGCATGCAGTTTTGTCTAGCAACATGGCTTCCAGTAGCGGAAGCCATACAGCAGTAGGACAATCATTATGTGTTTGGCCAAGACTGTGGGCTGGCAGCGAGATCAACTCGAAGACACATGATGAGGGAACCATGGTTGTGAGATCACCTGTCAAGAGAATCTACACTTGATCAGTTGATTGTGATCTATGAGAACACAGGGCTAACATGTGCCATGCAAGTGCGAAGTAATTAACATCTCAAACAAGAGAACCTAACCATTTCTGTTGAAACTCATCAGGCTAGCCATAACTGAAACCCACATTACTAATGCTTGGGGGTTATCATTGGCCAGAAACTGAACTAGGCTAGCCACACAATTGCTAAGAACAGGTACAGGTGGGGAATTCTATGGCAAGCAACCCATTTCATAACTCTCTAAAGTCTGTCCATCATCTATGATGAACAAATCAGGAACATGATGGAATATATTCCATTTGTCTGTACGAGTACGAGTACAACTCCTACAATAGTTCTAAATGCACTATAGCTTCAGGGTAAAAACAACCCATTTGATTGGCACTCCATTCACAACCAGTGTGAACCATTTACAGATGGAGCGTAGCAACTCGCCAAGCTTCCAAACCCTTGACCCTCTACCTTTCTGTCTTGGAGCTACATCACCATTCTCTCACTGTTGCAGGATTACAAAATCTTGGAACTCACTTCCAAACAGTAACTTGCATGTACCTACACCACAGGATTACAGTCCCTTTGGCCCATCAAATACACACCAACCCTTCGAAGAGCATCTCACCCACACCCACCCTCCTACCTTACCCCTGTAACCCTGCATCTTCCATGGCTAATCCACCTAATTTACACACCTCTTGACACAATGGGTAATTTATCATAGCCAATCCACTTAACCTGCACATGGATTGTAATTGAAGGCCATGAATTACTATCACCTTCTCACATGCATTTAGCCATGGGCAACAAATTTGGCCCAGCCAGTGACCCCGGATTTCATGAAAGAGTTAAAAAGCTATCGATTGGATATCAGTCAGGGAGGGGAACTAACCCACCATCACCTAGTGATAAAATGTTAATCTCTGGCTTGTTGCCCATATTCTGTGCTTACTTGTCAAGACAGGCCACGCTGAGGCACCGGTCCTCGGGCGGTGGTTGTGCGGCATTTGTGTCATTGTCCTCCAGAATAGAATCAATAAAGGTTGATGGTGAGAGGGGTTCCTCAGTGCCAGTGACAACAGGACTGACCTCCTCAACCTCTGGGTTAGTTGTAGGACTTGGAGGCTCTTCTTTAATATGAACCATTGGGCTGGTTCTGGAAAAGTTAAAAAAAAAAAGGAGAGACCTTTTAAATAAAAAATGGGACAATGTCCAATTGGAGATTTGGCTGCCTTGCTTAATCACATTCCCTTTTGAAATGGCAGGGCAAGTTCAAAAAGAGTTAAAAAGCATATGGGACACTTTGTTTTCTAAACGAAGGCACAGAATAAGAAAGCAAGGAAGTAGTCATTTGGTTGTTAAGAATTTGAATATTCCCAAAAAGAATACATTATCTCAAAGCCTCTGGTCTTGCAGCAATTTTGGACAACTTGCAACAATACCAATTCATGGGGAAAACCAACATTTATACTGCATAAGAGAAGAGCGCTGATTAGTTGGCAGGTGAATACCGATCGAGGTATTGCAACCAATCAGCACTCTCCCTCATGCAGTATAAATGCCGGCTTGATTTGAATTATTACTGTCACATGTACTGAGAGACAGTGAAAAGTATTATTTTGTGTGCTATCCAGGCAAATTGTATCTTACACAAGTGCATCAGAGTAATGGAACAGAATGCAAAACATTATTACATCTACAGAGAAGGTGCAGAGAAAGATCAATTCTAATGTACAAGAGGTCCATTCATAAGTCTGACAACAGCAGGGAACAAGTTGTTCTTAAATCTGTTTGTACATGTTTTCAAACTTTTGTATCTTCTGCCTGATGGAAGAGGATGGAAGATGGTGAAAGAGTGTATAACTGGGGTGGGAGGGGTCTTTGATTATGTTGGCTGCTTTCCAAAGGCAGCAGGAAGTATAGACAGAGTCATGAACTGGTATTCTTGCAAACTGTCCTGACAAGTGCTCAGTGTAAAGCTTCAACAAAATGTATTTTCATCAATACTATAGCAAGGAAGGGAAGCTAACTGCTTATAAATCATGAATCCACCAGAGGCCTAAATAATATCTTCTGTAAATTCTGGCCTAGCCAATGATGCTCATATCCCATGAATGAAATAAGAAAACAAAATTCTGGGCATCAGAGTTCAGGAAGGATGGATGTTAAGGATGCAAATATTTACTATAATTATACCAGGAATGAAAGACGGCAGTTGCATAGATACTCAGGAAAAATATTGAACATTGGAATATTAAAAAAGTCATGAAGGGTATCGGAAATAATTTACACTGGGGATAATTATCAGTGACAGCAGAGTCATAACCAGAGGTCTAGCTTTATGGTTACAAACAGAAGAACAAGACGAGAATTTTCTTTTCAGCAAGGAATTAGGATCAATTCACTGCCTGAAAAGGGTGATTCTTAATACCGTTCAAGATGAGAATTGTTAAAAAAAACTCCAATGGGAAACATTAGTTAACTTGACAGCTTAAAGAGCTGACATCGGCATAAGGGTTGAATGAGGAGGTGGTGGTGCAACGTGGTCATGTTACTGGTGCAGTAACTGGGCTCTGGGACATGGGTTTGAAATCCACCAAGGAAAATGGTGAAATTTGAATTCAATAAAGGTCTGAAATTAAAAGTTTGTCTCATGGTGACCACGTAAGTATTGTTGATTTTTGCAAGACCCTATGATTGTGCTTTAGGGAAGAAAATCTGGCATTTTACTTAGTCTGGCCTTTGTGCAATTTCAGACCCACAGCAATGTGGTTGATTCTTAACTGCCCTCTGAAAGCCACTCAGCTCAAGGGCAATGAGGAATAGGTTACAAATGCTGGTCTTGCTAGTGACATCCATATCCAATGAAAGAATTAAAAAGGCATGGAAAGGTGCCTACGATTCTTGTAGTAAAACCAAAAAGAAAAAAGAAGTTTTCAGCAGTCTCATGTGCAAATTTGAGGGACTTCATTGTTTGCACGAGTTATCTGGCTTGCCATCTACAAGTAGTTCTTTCAACATTAATCCACTGGTTGAGAAGACTGAAACAAGATATTAAGTATATGTATTTTGAAGTAGAGTTACATCACAATGGATTTAAATGATTTTGAAAGGCTTATATAGTGTTTATGTTAAATGAGCAATGGTTGATGCCATTGGTACAAACTCACCTTTCCACGTTGAGCGATGGGGAGAGCGAAGGACTGCATTGTGCCAAGTCTGTGATATCTGAAATTATAGGGCCAGAGGCCGTAGAGTTGTCAGATGAATAGCAGTTATTTCCTGGAAAATTTGTGGTAGTCTGCTGAAAAGAGAAGCATGGACAAAGATAAAATGCATGGTTGTTGATTAAAATGTCCAGGTGATTACAAGCTAGATAATTTTTCTCAGAGGCTATTTGGCAAATGCATCTAGTCTTGTACTGAGGGTATTGGCGTTGTTCAAGATTGAACCTGGGCTATGAAAGGAAAGCATATAAACTGAAAGCAAGAAATCAGCCAAAGCAAGGCAATTACAACCAAAATGAAGTGCTTGTGTACAGGGAGAGAGATTGGGACTGTCCTCCTTAGTTAGTGAGATTTGCAGATCATCCAGGCTCTCAGAGCTTGACAGGTCATTCAGTTCCTCAATACTCTATCATATCATGAACCTCAATCCATTTATTCACTGTTGCTCCATATTCAGCAATTTCTTTACAAACAAAATAACCTACACATCTCAGTCATGAGAATTGCAAATGGATCTAAAAACATAAACATTGCTTTTTCCTGGGAGGAGTGAGGTGGCAATTTCCACTACTTTTCCTATAAAAGCCATCTCTGCTCCCACTCTGAAATGGCCAAGCACTAATATTAAATTATATTCCCTTGTTCTGACCACCTCAAAGAAGAAACAGTTTGATGTCTTTTTCTTAAAACTGTCCATTATAATCCCAACTTCCTGTGTCTTTTATGACCCTATACTCTCAATGATAAATACTGCTAGTCCTAAAAAGACCAATGCCCATTCCTGTACCACTCCTGAGCATGCTAACCTACATTGGCTCCCTGCCAAGCAATGATGTGAGCTTAAAATATTTATCCTCCTTTCAAATCCCACTATAGCCTCACCCTCCCTCTCTGGAAAAACCTCCAACACCAACCCCTACGCACCTTGCCTCAGCCCAAAAACAATTTTTTGAAATAACTCCTTTAACTCATCTTCCTTCATTAAGGTACTGTTTAAGATCTAAGTCTTATACCAAGCTTTTGGCTGTCTGACCCAATACCTCATGTGGCTTGGTATCAAAGTATGGATTGAAACGGTGTTTAGGATAATTTATAATGCTGAAGCCTCTACACAAGTACCTGCAAGTTTTACTCTCATTACAAGTCATTCAACCCCTGGCTTTCATATTGCTTTATGTTCTTTTTCTTTTAAACAGTTCTTTCAGTCTGCTTGATTTTTTTCCTGCCTTTGTAAGTCCTTCTTTTCAGCTTGATGCTGCTTCTCAACTGCCACTCACTAATATGAATTTGAAAAAAGAACCTTCATGGGATTTAGGCATTGTTGGTGAAGTTAGAAGTTATCGCTAATCCTCAATTGTCCTTGAGAAGGTGCAAGTAAGCAGCCTTCTTGAACTACTGCAGTCCATATGATGTAGGCACAGTCACTGTGCTGTTACGGAGGGAGTGTTAAGGGATATGGTAGCATAGTGGTAAAGTCACTGGACCAATAACCCAGAAACACAAGTTATCATTCTGGGGTCATGCATTCAAATCCCACCATGGCAGATGGTGAAGTTTGAATTCAATATAAAAAAAGGCTAGTCTAATGGCAAAGAGACAGTACGATTGGCCCACAACATAAAAAACCCATCTGGATCACTAATGTCATTTAGCTCTCTGACACTAGACCCACAGCAATTTGGTTGACTCTTAACTGCGCTCTGGGTAATTAGGGATGGGCAATAAATGCTGGCTAGCCAGAGATTTCTGCAACAAGTGAGTGAATAGAAAGAAAAGGTCCAGGATTCTCTTCCAACAAAACTGAAGGACTGGCAATTTCCTTCAAGTCAAGACGGTGTGTGGTTTGGAGGGATCTTAGGATGGTGGCATTTCCATGCCCCTGCTCCCCCAGGCAAGTTTCTACATTGCATCCTGTAGCTGGTACATACTGCTTCCACTGTGCATTATTGGTGAAGGGAGTGAATGTTGAAGGTAGTTGATGGGCTGCTAACCAAACAGGTTGCTTTTTCCTGGACTGTGTCAAGCTTATTGATTGTTGTTGGAGATGCACTCTTCCACACAAATGGAAAGTATTCTACCACACTGTCAAATTGTGATTCAATGGTAAACAAGCTTTGGGGAGACAGTAAAGTTATTTGGAGATAATCCCCAGCTTCTGACCTGCGATTGCACTTACTGTATTCATATGGTTGGTCAGTTCTAATCAATGGCACAGCCCAGGATGTTGATAGTTCGGGATTCATTGATGGTATACCATGGAATCTCAGGGTGCAATGGCTAGATTCTCTCTTGTTGGAGATGGTTATTTAGGCCACACAAGTGTCAGGCCATATGTTTGCCATTTTTCAGGATAGGCCCCTTGCTGCATTTGGGCATGAACTACTTGAGAGGAGTCATGAATGGCATTGAACACTGTGCAATCACTTGTGAACATACCCACTTCTGACCATTTGATGGAAAGATGGTCTTTGATGAAACACCTGAAGATGTCTAGGCCACCAAAATACATTAAAAAAATCAAAAGCAATAATAATGTACAGCTATAATTACGGGTAACCTCAATCTGCATATACATTGGTCAAATCAAATCAGCAATCATACTGCAGAGGAGAAATTCTTGGAGGAAGTTCAAGATGGTTTCCTGGATCGATATGTTGAGGAACCAATTAGAGAATAGGCCATCCTAGACTGAGTATTGTGTAATGAGCAAGGAATAATTGGCAGAATAATTGCCTATGCTGGAGAATCTGAGATAACAAGGTGTAGAACTGGATGAACACAGAAATTTCTGAAGAAGGGTCCAGACCCGAAACGTCAGCTTTCCTGCTCCTCTGATGCTGCTTGGCCTGCTGTGTTCATCCAGCTCTACACCTTGTTATCTCAGGAATAATTGGCAATCTAGTTGTGCAAGGCCCTTTGGGGAACAATGATCCTAATAGGGTCAATTCTCCATTAAGATAGAGAATTATTGTTGATTCTGAGACCAGGGTCCTGGATCTCAGCAGAGGAAACTACAATGAGACAAAAAACGAACTGGCTCTGATAAATTGAGGAATGTTATTTAAAAAGGATGACAGAGGATAGGAAATGGCAAACATTTCAAGAGTGCTTGGTGGAATTGCAGAAAATGTTCATTCCTATCTAGCTCAAAAATAAAATGGCAAAGGTAGCCTCACCATGGCTAACAAGGGAAATTAGGGATAGTACGAGATCCAATGAAGGGGCATACAAATTGGCCAAAATGAGCAGCAGATCTGACAATTGGGAGCAGTTTAGATTTCAGCAAATGGGAAAAATGGGATTGATTAAGTAAGGAAAATGGAGTTCAAGAGTAGGGAACATACAAATTGAGAAACGTTTACAATTTTTTTTCTTTACTCATTCACGGGATAAGGGTATCGCAGCATTTATTGCCTAACCCTACTTGCCCAGAGGGCAGTTCAGAGTCAACCACGTTGTTGTGGGTCTGGAGTCACATGTAGGCCAGACCAGGCAAGGACAGCAGTTTCCTTCCCTAAAGGACATTAGTGAACCAGATGGGTATTTCCAACAATCAAAAATGGATTCATAGTCACCACTTGACCCTTAATTCCAGATATTTATTGAAGTCAAATTCCATTATCTGCTGTGGTGGGATTTGAACCCGGGTCCCCAGAATGTTATCAGGATCTCTGGATTAACAGTCCAGCGATAATGCCACTAGGCCATTGCCTCCCCCGCCTGAGAAGAGAAAAAGGTTACAGAAGACAAATGTGCCCCTTACTGGGTGAATTAAATAGGGAACAAAAATCGCAGATCAATTAAATACGTATTTTGGTTCTGTCTTTACAAAGGAAGACAAATAACATCCCAAAAATCTTGGGGAACGCAGGGCCAAGTGAGACAGAAGTGAAGAAAATCAGGATTAGCAGAGAAATTAAGTTGAAGAAGTTGATGGGATTGAATGCTGAAATATCCCAGGCCCAGTTAATCCACATCCCAGAGTACTTAAGGAAGTGGCCCTAGAAATAGTGGATGCATTTGGTGGTCATCTTTCAAGATTCCATACACTCTTAACAGTTCTTGTGGATTGGAGTGTAACTAATGTGACCCCACTATTTTAAAAAAACAAAAGGAGGTAGAAAGACAACAGAATTATAGCCCTGGTTAGCATTATATCATTAGTAGGGAAAATGCTAGAGTCTGCTATAGAAGATTTAATAACAGAGCACTTGTAAAATGGTGACAGGATTGGGCAGAGTCAGCATGGATTTACACAAAGGAAATCATGTTTGACAAATTGAAGATATAACTTGAGTTGATCAGGGGAAACTAGTGGACGTGGTTTACTTGGATTTTCAGGAGGCAGTCAATAAACTGCCACATACGAGATTAGCATTTTAAAATCAAAGCACGTGTGATTGGGGGTAGTGTACTAACATGGATTGAGAATTAGCTGGTAGACAGAAAACAGTAGAGTACTGCAGGGATCATTCCTTGCACCCTAGTGATTCACAATATATATTCATGATTTAGGTGAGGGAACCAAATATAACATCTGCAAATTTGCAGACAACACAAACCTAAGGGGAGGATGTGGGGAGGATGCAGAGATGCTTCAGCATGATTTGGATAAGTTGACTAGTGTTGGCATAATGTAGATAAATCAACTGCCATTTTCTGATTCCCTGTTAATACGTTTTCAGTCTTGTTCTTGAAGGGAGCTATGTTTGCTTTGGCCTGCCTTTTCATTTCCATAAAGTGAAAGCATCTCATACTGTCCAGTTTATATTACTTGCCATTTTTCCTCAGTTTATTTTTGTTAACTTTTAAAACTTTCTCAATCCTTTGGTGTTGGTGGAGGGTTGCTTTTCAGTCTGGAAGTCTGTGACCAGCAATGCATGGAAGGGATCAGTGCTGGGTCTACTGTCGTTTATATAAACGAGTTAGATGAGAATTTAGGAAGCATAGTTACTAAGTTCGCAGATGACACCAAAATTGATGGTATAGTCGACAGTGAAGGTTATCTAAGATTACAAGGAGATCTTTATCAATTGGGTCAATGGGCTGAGGAATGGCAGATGGAGTTTAATTTGGATAAATGTGAGGTTATAGCATTTTAGCAAAACAAACAAGGGCAGGACTTATACAATTAATGGTGGGCCCTTGGGAGCATTGTCGAACAGAGAGACCTAAGGGGTTCAGGTACATAATTCTCGGAAATTTGCATCACAGGTAAACAGGGTGGTAATGATGTTTGGCATGCTTGCCTTCAGTGCCTCAGACCTTGGAGTAAAGGAGTTGGGACATATGTTGAGGGTGCACAGAACGTTGGTGAGGCCACTTTTGGAGTGCTATATACAGTTCTGGTTGCCCTGCTATAGGAAGAATATTATTAAAGAGAAGAAGGTTCAGAAGAGATTTACCCAGATGTTGCCGGGACTAGACAGTCTGAGTCATAAGGAAAGGCTGGGACTTTTTTACCCTGGAGCAAAGGAGGTTGAGAGGTGACCGGATAGAAGTTTATAAAATTAGGAGGGGAGTGCAGAAGGTAAATAATAAAAGCCTTTTTCCTACGGTGGGTGAGTTTAAAACTGGGGTCATATTATTAAAGTCAGAAGAAAAAAAATTAAAAGGGGCCTGAGGGGCAACTTTTTCACAGAGGTTGGTTTATATATGGAATGATCTGCTAGAGGAAGTAGTAGATGCAGGTAAAGTTACAACATTTAAAAAACATTTGGATAGGTACATGAATAGGAAGGTTTACAGAACAACTGCACAAAGGCAAGCAAGTCGGACTAGTTTAATTTGGGAAACTTGGAGTTGGACCGAAGGGTCTGTTTTGATGCTGTATGACTGTGACCAAATAGGAGGTTATCTACTTTGGAAGCAAAAACAGCGCGGAAGATTATCTGAATGGTAATAGATTGGGAAAAGGGTAGGTGCAATGAGACCTGGGTCCTTGTACACCAGTCAGTGAAAGTATGCATGCAGGTGCAGCAAGTGGTATGTTGCCCTGCATCATGAGGAGAATGAGTGTACAGGAGCAGGGACGTCTTGCCAACTCTATGGGTGACTCAGTGGTTAGCACTGCTGCCTCACAGTGCCAGGGACCCAGGTTCGATTCCACCCTTAGGTGACTGTGTGGAGTTTGCACGTTCTCCCCGTGTCTGTGTGGGTTTCCTCCCACAGTCCAAAGCTGTGCAGGCTAGGTGAATTGGCCATGCTAAATTACCCTGTAATGTTCAGGGATGTGGAGATTAGGTGGGTTATAGGGGTTTGGGTCTGGGTGGGATGCTCAGAGGGTCAGCATGGACATGTTGGGCGAAAGGGCCCGTTTCCATACTGTAGGGACTCTTAAAGTTTCAAAAATTGTGCAGGAACTTGGTAAGGCCACACCTGGAATAGTGTGTTCAGTTTTGGTTTCTTTATCGGATGAAGAATGTTCTGGTTTTGGAGGGAGTACAATGAAGATTTAGCAGATTGACTCCTGGCATAGCAGGATGTATGAAGAAAGACTTGGTCAGTTAGGACTACATTGAAGTTCGAGGATGTGAGTGAGTGAGTGAGCACGTGAGTGCGAGTGTATTCAGAGAACCTGCATAACTCTAATAAGACTGGACAGGGTAAATGCAGGAAGGATACTTCTCATGACTGTGGAATAGAGAACTAGGGATCACAGCTTAAGGATATGGGGTATACCATTTAGGACTGAGATGAGGAGAAATTTCTTCACCCAACAAGTAGTGAGCCAGTGGTGTTCTCTGACACGGAAGGCTGTTGAAGCCAAAACGTTGAATGTTTTCAAGGGGTCAGAAACAGTTCTTTGGTCTAAAGAAATCAAATGGTATGGTGAGGAAGTGGGAACAGAGTTAGATGATTAGCCACGATCATACTACATGGCAGAGCAGGCTCGAAAGTCCAAATGGCCTATTCTTATTTTCTACATTTCTAATTTTTGTGGTATATCAGCAATCTTCTTGCTGTTTTCTGTTGTCTATTCCAAATGCAGATCAGTATGGTTTGCAACAGTCATCCCATTGAAATTTGCGTGACTGAAATTCATTTATGGCTTGCTATTCCCTGTAAAACCTGTGTGGAGTAGTGGGATACAAACAGGAGGAGAACTTCATTGCAGCAAACGTTCAGAGACGAAAATGAAGAATGTTTATGATTGGTTCAGTGAGCATTACGAAGGGAAACAGGTAGTCACATGCAGTGACAAAAGGAGCAGTGAAATTAGTCAAAGATCTCCCATTGTAGATTGTTGGAAAGTTGTCTAATCCTTCTCACAAAGGACACAGGAAACAAGACATTGAATAGCAAACAATTGTATATGTACTGCATAAAAGGGCAAAAAAACAACAGCTTCAATCCTAAGCTTTTCCTTCAGTCAATCTCCCCTTTCACCCGCCATCCTTTCAAACTATCCATAAACTTCACTAATCACATTCTGCAGTTGTCAGAGCCCAGACTGTTGGCCATACTCAGTATTCAACATGGAATATTGAGGCACATTCAGTAACTTGTAGAAGGAACATCTCAGTAAATAGCACCCAGCAACTGTGGTTACAAATCACAAATAAAAACAGAAAGTGCTGCAAAACTCAGGTCTGGCAGCTCCTGTTGAGTGAGACCAAGTCGATATTGACACTTTTAAAAAAAAAAAAAAAAAGTGTGGATAGTTCCAACACAACTTGCTTTTATTTCAGATTTCCAGCTTTCTCAGTGTTTTTTTTTATTTTAGTGTTACAAGTCCCAACTTGCTTTTATTTCAGATTTCCAGCTTTCTCTGTTTTTTTTTATATTTTAGTGTTACAAGTCCCAGCCTTTAGATGGCACTCCAGGGAAAAGTTTCTGAAGTCCAACTAGGTAGACAGTGTAACATGGGTTTGCACCAATTAACCATGATCAAAAATACATAAAGCACTCATTATTGGCAGATTCTTGACTAGCATAACGGCACCTACCGTCAGTGCTGATGATTCTTGCAGAGGTTCCAAAGAGTATGGACGACTGTATTTTGGCATGGAATGCGCTGAACTGCTGTCATTTAACATGAGGGGACTGAAAGAGAGAAAAATAGTGGATTGAGACTGAAGGACATTGTGGACACACGTGCAGAGATTAACTTTACTGTGCACTCAGGTGAGCTAATCAAGGTCATGTCCACTTTTCACAGGTTTAGATGTACGTGTAAAGATCTTCTGGCTCTGTTTAAGGACAGAGTGCATTCTAGTTGCTTGAGGCAGGAATGGCCAAAGAAATAAAACTAACTAGTCATTCATTTGGTGACTGTTTTTGGCACAAAACAGCTGTGGTGTTCACTGAATTACAAAAATAATACATTATGAACTGCATGGCGACATAATATCGTGGCATACAAACTGAATTAGTATAAAATTAGAAGTTGAAAGGGTTTGAACTTGTGATTTTCTGAGAACAGGAGTAGAAATGTTAGTTCAAGTCTGTTTCATCATCCAATTAGATTGTAGCTCATGCACATGCACTTGTACCATGTTTATTTACAAATTTTCCTTCATCTTTCTTGATACCCCTGCCCAACAAACATTTATTCATCTTTACCTTGAAATCTCTAATTGGTACCTGTTAGGCCAGCCATAATAAGGTGTGTCCAAGCCCCAGCTGCTTTAACTCAATCCCACATTGGAGTGTAACTGGTAGCAAGGTACTCAGTGTGAGGGTCATTCTGCTCACTGACCTGGAGTCACATAACCTGACTATAAAATCTGTAGAGCTCTATGCAAATGATTAAAAGGAATTCACAGAAACCAAAAATTAGATCAAGCAGGAGACAATGACCATCACTAGGTCCAGAACATAGAGCCCTGTCAGAACATTGATCCCAGTACCAGAAAAGCTGAGATAGTAGGAACTGCCGTTGCTGGAGAATCTGCGATAACAAGGTATAGAGCTGGAAGAACACAGCAGGCCAAGCAGCATTTTCTGAAGAAGGGTCTAGACCCGAAACGTCAGCGTTCCTGCTCCTCTGATGCTGCTTGGCCTGCTGTGTTCATCCAGCTCTACACCTTGTTATACCAGAAAAGCTGAGACTGTTTTCCTTAGAAAGGAAGTCTTAATACAGATGCTTAACATTATGAAGCATTTTACTCAGGAGAAACTGTTTTCAGCTGATGAGTTGATCAATGGATGGGTTGGACGTAGCAAGTTGTAACAGGTGTAGCAAGGTTCTTATACCAAGATTCCTACTTTTCAATTAGGAAATAAATCCAAGTGCTTAGGTTGCATTAGTCTTCAGGTTTTAAGCTCCAACAGTTTCTAGCAGTGAACTTTCTGTGTAACCTTTGCGGAACAGTGAAATACTCAAGCCTCACATGGTCAAGACATCCACAAACTTGCTGTCCAAGTTTGGAGGTGAGTTTAAACGGTGTAACTGAGGCAAATGATACCACTCCCACTGAACCGAACAAATTAACTGATTACACACGAATATACAGCAATGAATCCCTTTCCATCACGGAGTATTGCTAATAATTAACTCACATTTTCCTCTTCACTCCAATGACTCTATTGGATTGCACAAGTGAAATCAGGAACTGAATCAGCTAAAAAAGGAGAAAAACAACAATTTATTATTATTCACTCAGAGCAAAGCTCACCTATGGAAAAACAGCCACTCTGCACAATTTAGGCACACCCCTTCTCAGCCCCACACGCAAAGAATCTGTAACTTAGTCACAGACCATCTCATCCCTCAGTTCCAGAGTCAGCAGAACTCCACACTACTCTCCAGCGACAGATCCACCAATGAGGCGTGTCAGGTGGGCCCAGTACAACCCCATATTCAGACCCATCGAGAGTCAACCCACACCGAATCACACTAACCCAGTGCTATTTTTCCACTCATTCACAATGCTTTGTCCAAAGCCAGCCTGCCCCTGTAGTTGAATCAGAGATGGTAGGAACTGCAGATGCTGGAGAATCCGAGACAACAAGGTGCAGGGC